AAAAAAAAACTGTAGCTCGGTGGCCATTTTTCAAGGACTTTGAGGATCATGAATGCGATATTTTCAGACATCATCACATCACAAATGATCACCACTCCGATGGCGGTGAAGGATGCCAGGCAGATCATTTTGGTATTTCTTTTGGGGGGGTCCCTCCGCATTTTTGTCCTCGGTGCCGTGACACACTTTGTCTTTTCATGATCATAAATGCTTTCTATTGAAAGAATAATGATGCATACGCCAAGCTTCGCTTTCCACCGTTCCCTTCGAAAACGTCACAACCTTTATCTGTTGCGGAGTTGAGGCGAAAGTTGCGGCAGGTCGTGAATTCAAGAAAAAGGAAGGCAACGCGAGCAAGAACGGGAAAGGGCGCAACACCTCGGAGCCCAAATACGGCCCACTTGGAAAGGGACTCGAACGCGAGCCGGCGCCGTACCCGGCAAACGCAGCGGAAGCGGCGTACCAACCTTGCGAGGGATGAGCCGCTCTCACTCGGGGGAAATCTCCGTTTCTTGATGGACAACCACTTTGGTGACCGACATATCCGGGTGTTGTTCTTTGGCTTCTTTTATAGCCTGGGCCAAAGCCTGAACACAGGAAACAACAATCGGCGAAGGCTTCTTCAGTCGCGCGTGATGAACGGCTTCCGTTAAAACAGCCGGTGGAACAGATGCACTCGATATGCACGTGCGGTTGCTGAGTTCATCGTGCAAATCATTTCCGCTTCAGCATGAAGAATCTATGGCGCCGCCCAAACGGATGCATCCCGGCATCGTGAAATCACCGCGCACGCATCGATGCAGATCGACGACTTTGTCCATCTTAGTCTTAACCGGGCGGCACTTTGCGTTTAGGCGAGCTTGGCGGCTGAAAACGGAATCAACTTGCACTCACCTCGGCCGCGTCAGCGGCCAAACGTTAATTGCCGCCCCCGACGCTGGGAGTGGGCTTCGCCTGTTAGCGCCCACGTTCATATGCGCATTGCTACTCTTGTCCACCGTAAAAACGGTCAGCACCGTCTTTTCTGATCAAGGCTTTTCCTCCCAATAAAATCGAAAAATATTGTGCCGATGGCTTGCGGATCTTCACAAGTTGAAGTGGACGCTGGACGATTTTGCTGACTATCGTTTTCAGAAACTAGGTGACAACAAAACGTGACAAAGCAACCCGAGACACAATATGACAAGGCTTGCCCCCCCACCCCCCTCTCGATTCACTAATGTAGCGCCCCTTGAATGTGAACAAAGCACAATTCACCTTGTCATGATCAATTTCGGTGTCTCCGGTAATGACGATCCTCTTCTCAATGCGAGTTTCTGAGATGCCTCCTTTCACCGTCTGCGACAGACACGATAGGGCTGAAACCAAACATTTCAAGGTGGGCGCGGGGGGGCGCACATCCGACACAAGACAAAGCAGCTCGGCTCGGTCGGTCCTGGAATTTCAACAGATTTTTCAGGCTCACTTTTTTCTTCTCTTCCGTTTCTGTTCGGTGTTTTGCGCGGTGTGATGAGCAAACAGCGTTTTGTTTTTTTGGGGTTTTTTTTTGGTCATTGGCTCAACGGAAAAGTGGGGATTCAAAAAAAATTACACACATATACACAGAGCTGTGCACGAATCTGTTTGCAAACTCGGACGCTGGACCTGAGAAGCCCTCCGAGGTTAGCTTAGCGCCAGCTAGCATGACACACACACGCAAATCACCGGCGCCGCTTCAGACTGAAGCGACAGCTCGGGGTCATTCGTTTGGCCGCCTCTCCAAGTCACAATCGAACCAAAACGCAAGGTCCAAATACTTTGCTTCGGATTTGGGGAGTGTTTTAGCGTCAGTCGGAGTCGATTAGCATTTTGTGGGTTCTTGTTTTGTTCAATTGCCGCTGGCTTGACAGGGACTCTCCAGCGCGCATACCGAGGAGCTTTCTCTCACCCCGACCACCACCGACAAAGGACCGAGTCCAATCGTCTGTGACCGGCATCACCCGGATGGCCTCCAATAAACGGTGGTTCATCCTTGAACGCCTATTAAAGAGCCTCTTTATTGCAAATGCCAGGTCAGCTGGTTGATGTGCTGTCAAGTGAGGGATGTTGGAAAGAGGGAAAGCCATGTTGTCGTTTGATGCTATCTGCGGTCAAGAAAAAAAATCAATAAAAAATAAATAATATGAACGTGCAAGTATAACGCATGAAACGGATGACAGATCGTCGCGATTCGTGATTTGTCACGTTCTATCTCCGTCTATTCTGCCACAGCGGCTGCTTTTTGAGGAGCGCGCCCGATGTGCGAGAGAGGGCGCGCTTCCGAGTGACATGGGCACGACGACGCTGCGGCGGCGGGTTGAACGGAAAGCGCAACCGCAGCATTCAAGTACGCGGCCCGTATTGATCGGCGAGGCAGACCTTGGTGATCTGGGTGGTGGTGGTGGTGCTTATCGTCTCGGATGTGATGGTCTGGGCACTCAGGAGCACTCCCGAGTCCCTGTCCGCAAAGGGGTCCAGCGGCTGCGGGAGAGACGCCATTTCAGCCATCGGGCCGGTTTGCGATGCCGCGAGGCCTCGTGCCAACGCGGCGGTCCCAGTGTGAGAAATGAAGTGAATGCCGAAGGTTCTGGCATCGCCGGGCTCCGAATGCCTCTTACCTGGGCTGACTCGTATGTAATCGTCTTTGTCTCCGTGTGAACCAAGGGGATGTCCTTCAGGGCCACGGTTCCTCGAAGAGAGTTGGTGACATCCGAGATGGTGATTGTCTGGGTCTTCAGCACTGGAGACTGCAAAAAAAAAAAAAAAAAAAAAAAAAACACCCCACAGTCAGAAACGAGCTCACTCACGCCAGCAGCGAATCACATTTGCAGCCATGCACAGCTATTTAATAGAGACACAAAGCTGTTGGGATGTCTTAGCGGTTCATGCAACACTGAAAAATCGACCATTACAGCAAATGTTGAGGAACATTTTTTTTCTCCCCCCTTTCGTTCATGTGCACCGCACTCGAGGGGAACCAAGTTGTCAAGCCAAAGAAATACAATTTCATCCAACATGATTCATCCCAAGTAAAAGAAGGCCGGACATCAGACATTTTTCTTCAGACGTTAAGAGATTGTAACTTATAAGCATGAGCCGAGTCAATCAAAACATGGCAGAAACTCCAAGTGAGTGAAAGCGATTCGATTGCGGTCTCTGGGCGGCGTCATTGTCTTCATCAGGATGAGAATGTCAGATCCGAGAAGCGGTTGCGTCGGATGGAAAATGTCCCAAAAGTCTTGCAAGTTGTCTTGAATGGGTGTGCAAAAAAAAAAAAAAAAAAAGCAGCTTCTGATTGGAATCTGGATGTGTCCACCATGGCGACAGCCGGCGCCTTTCCTTTGCAGCCCTGGAATGTTCCGTTCCTCTGCCTGAGCAGGAGCTGGCCAACGGGGAGAACGTTCGCCGTCTGCGGGTGCTGGGCCACATAAAGGTTGCAGTGCATGCGTATGAGGAGGCCTCGTTTTTTTTTTTTTTTTGGGGGGGGGGGCACGGACCAGTTGAGACAAGAGCACATGCTGTTTGCGGACCGGAAACCATTTTCTCATGGCTTTGAAATGGCCACTTTTAAAGCACTGGTACTGACCACAAAGATCATGACAGAGTCATTCGACGTGTTTTCATTCCTTTCAAACAGTTTGACACAAATACCAATTGAAATAAAAGACGGCGCGCGAAGGAGAAATGGACCAAGCGAGACTCATCAACGTCATGTTAGCAGAATCATTTTCCAGTTCGGATTCGACTATTTTGCGACCGATCAAAAGATGACAGGGGCCCATCGCTGCTTTCATCCGCCGGCGGAGAGATCACGCTCAGCTTGGCCGCTACCTCTCCATTTCCCCTTCCCAAGAAATGTCAGACTTGCTTTGCGGCGATCATTTTGGCGAGGCCGCATTCCGCTGTACATGTACAGGTTTGTTTTTCAAACGAAAGCCAACCACAGCGCGGTCAGAGCCATCGCCAGCAGAGCCGACAGGAAGAAGGACGTCCGAGAGTGGCCGTCGCGCGTGCGCAGCCTGCAAGGGCCGCCCTCGGCCGAGCCGTCCGAGCGCCTGGCCTCATCTGGCACCCCGATGGCCACCTCTGAAGCGTGGCCACCGGCTTGCCGCTCTTCTTCCTCCTCCTCCTCCTCCTCGCAGTCATCTACCCAATGCACCTCACTGTCCTCGTCATCCGGCAGAAAACCATGCCTGAAGAGCGGCGGTTCCCCCGGCGTCGGGGCCAAGCCACATGCGCTTACCTTCGGTCCAAACAGTGACTGGCTCCCTCGCTGTGCTCAGCAGCGGAAGACCAGAAAAGACAAATAACAATCAACAGACGGGTGGAACGTGCAGATGGCAAGTGGGACCAACAAGATGTAGCGGGAAAGCTTTTGGGGCTATCGCTAGGGGTTGCTTTTTCTCCATTCTGGATCGACACAGCTCGCGTCATGAACCGTACGGACAAAAAAAACAAAAAAAAAAACACCTGAGCAGTTCCCCCACTATTCCAGAAAGACATTTGTCGAGGTTATGCTGGGCCTGCGTCTATTCGTTGAGCTCATTCCATGCCCAAATGTACAAATAAGTTTGCAAAAAGCCAACCATCAAGTGCCTAAACTTATAAATAAGCGTCTCGGGGTGGTCACGAATGCCACCCCTCAGAGAGAGCAGAGAACTACTCTGGCGTCTCTTCGCCGGCTCGTTTTTGAGTTCTTTGGAAGATGCCATCATTTGTTTTCCAATCTGGAAACGGCCTGGCCCCGCCTTTGCTCCGCAGCGCGGACGCGATTAGAAGTTGGGAGACTTCTTAGCCGCTCGCTCTCTTTGGAATGACCTCTCGTCTTCGAAAAACCTCGTTTGGAGTCTTTGGCGTTGGACTCGGCACGAGACTGTTTTGAGTTGGACTGTTTTTGTGCTTCCCGCTGCCTTGCTTATTCATTTGTGGGATGAATTCATGTTTTTGCTCCATGTAGAGCATTTTGTGGACAGCGATGGTGGTTTGAAAGTGCTCGAGGAAGACACCGTTGAGGTTACACAGATCCTCACCAAAATTGAACGGGATTTATTTTTTTTTTAAATGTACTCCTGATATTTTACGATTTTATTAGGTTAAAATGACTGCTGGGTAAAATGTCATTAAAAAAAAAAGGAAGGCCAGCATTCGCGATTGTACGGACTGAGGAACATCTCTTGCACTTACATTGCGAAAGGCAAATGTTAAATGTCGCGTTTTGATTATTAGGGGGAAGGACGAGACAACAGGCACCGCCTTGAAGACATAAAAAGACGACGGGGGACAGTAAGGAATGGTAGGGGAAGGAGACAGGTCCCAGAAGAGGGGGTGGAAAATTCTCGGTCTTATCGATTGGTCCCCCGGCTTTTGCTTTTCTTTTTGCCCTTCAACCGCCAACCAGGCTCAAAACATGCCACAAGATCATCCGGGCAAACGCAGCCATGCGGCGCGTTGCTCCATCAAGCAAGACGACAAGCTGTGCGAGCATCCATTGGAAGAACAAAGCCAGCGCAAGGCCATGATTTATTAAAAAAAAAAAAAACCAAGTTGGGATCCAAGACCTGAAACACACCAAAGTGCTTGGCTAGCTCTGTGGCTTCACAACTTTTCCCGACTCATTTGTCAGGCGGCCTTGCGTGTGCGGCCACTGGCAACAAGAGCAAAAATCTTTGCCGGGACACACATTCTGAGACCGAGGCTTTGAGTTTTGCAGCCAAGCGCAGCGTGGAGATGTTCCACATGGGGTGTTCATTCTCGCCAGTAAGCCACGGTCTCCGGGTGCCATGCTGGGCTTGGCTGCGGTGACCTTTGGCCTGCCTGAGCCAAAGACGTCCTCAATGCAATGCACCTTTTTCCTCAGATGCACGAGGGGTTACTTTGCACGTGGCGCAACTGAGCACATCAAGCATGGTTGCAAAAAAAACAAACAAAGAAAGCCCCCTTATGGCTCATGCAGAAGCCGGCAGCGCCATCAAGTGGATCATCGGGGTACAGTTAAAAAATAATAATAATATAAAGCTGCCAAATCAATCTCGGGCAGCCTTTCCATTGTTGGCTCATAACTTCAACTCTCAACATGCCGACATGCAAGTGTCAATAACATTTTAACATTTGCAACAAATTTTGCTGGTGACGAGCTGTTCATCTTAGGAGACAGCAGAGCAGTTGACTTGAAAAAGGCCGACGCAAAACATGTTGGCTATTTTTTTTTTTTTTTTGCGTTGGTGTTCAGATCCATTCGATATTGGCATGAATTGAACAGATTCGTCCAAAAGGCTTAGCGTGACGGATGACATTTGTATTCAAGGAAAATAAAGTCTCCCTCTCGATATCAAGAAGAGAGGCAAGGTGGCATTATCCGCCGGCCGACTCACCGCTGGTGGCAGCTGGCCGTTGATGCTCGCCGTGCGGAAAGGCGAGTGGGTGGAAAGACGCTTGTCCCACTCGCTGGGTCGAGGCTCTGGGACGGACTCCATGAAACTCCTCTTCAACTCACTGATGCTTGTGTGGTGACGCATGATCTCCGTCTGGGTCTTATCCACGTCCTTCAAGGAGGGCGAGAGATACAGAATGGGGAAAAGAAATAATGTGGTCAAGGAAAAAAAAAAATGGAAAAAGGTTACAGTTATAAATTCTGATGAGAAAAAAAAATGGTTGCATGCAAAATGAATGTCAATGTGCACACTATGACTGACGGCGTGGTCACGGAGGACGAAAGGACAAGAAGCAACCATGATTCTTCAGGAATGCAACCGCACAATGAGACGAGCGTCCGCGGTCATTGACTGACACCGACGCTGCATGACTGGGGGGGGCGGAACACATTTCATTCTGCGCTTCCCTCAAGGAAGATTGTCAGAACTGAAAACCGATTTTGTCATCCAGCACATCATAATTCAATACCCGGAAAATATTTTCAGCAATGACCCCCGCGCCGTAGTTTGGACACCTCCTAATCCGGCCCTTGAAAGGGTTGGAAGCATCACGATCAAACGCTTGACAACTTGCATCGTTTGTTGCGACACGAGTGCGTTGAACGTGAGAGCATTCTTGTCTTCTCTCTTAAAACAGGCTGGACATTTCTCGACCTTTGACGCCTCTTTACGGGAGGACAAACGGCACACTTCCAACCCAGTTTCAGATTCTCAATGCTAACGTAGCACGCGAAAGCTCTCTCCCAGTCATGCTGGAGTGCAGCTCATGGAAACAAGACATGAAAGGTGATCATGTCAAAGAGAAGTCGAGTTACTTGCATCAGAGTCAGAGAGGAAAATGGTGCATGCCAAGCCTTTCGGGTCAAGCTGAAAACAACACAATGAGGAAAAAGACACAAAAGAGTCAAAAATAAATAAATAAAGTCGACCCATGGATGAAGCAGGCAGAAAAACATGAAGGCAACATTCAAAACGGAGAAGACCATACAAACCTCCAACATTAAATTGCTATGTCTGATATAAATAGTTTCACCCTCAAGTTTCTTAGCCCGTTTCTGTAGTGGGGGGAAAAATAGGGGGTGGGGGGGCACACACAAGAACATCTGGTTGCTATTCATTGTGCAGTCGTTCACAACAAACTATTGCGCTTGCCTTCCAAGGGAATCCAATGAGAAGCATCGGCCAGGGCAAAAACAAACAAACCAAAAAAAAGCAGAAACTGCGGAAGAAAATAAAATGGGTTGCAAGGAACCGGAGTGGGACGCAGAACAAAAAGCTAGCGTAAACGCCCGTACGGAAAATCGAAACGGATTTCAATGACTGCATATTGCGTGGAGGCAATGGAGAGAAGAAAAAAAAAAAAAGGCGGCAGAAGCCATCATTTCACATCAAACAGCAGCCGGCAAAAAGAGATGAATAATCAAGTCCGCTTGGACACACAACATCCAGAGAAAAGGCAGCCAAAACGGTCCCTCATTGGTGACACCAAAGAAAATGGCGACGTGGAACTGACGCAAGCATGAGCAAAGGCGGTTAGCAGACGTGATGCTAACCTTCCTCACTCGCGTGGTCTCCATCTTTGATTTGTCCCGAGGACACTGCTGCTCTCCCATCAGAGAGGAAAAACAAAGGTTTGCGTTAGGATTCTCAAATTGTTTGGAAAAGTTGAAGGGCATACCGCACATGCGCAACACTTTCGAGTGATCTCATGTGCAACCGAGCTGAAGATGTGATGCCGCGTCGGACATGATATTAACAGTCGCTCTTTCGGTCGATTCTTTTTCCAACTCAAATGTATTTCTAGAGCACTTGAAAACAACCACCGCTGCATACAAAGTGCGGCACACGCGGCAATAAATTGATCACAAAGACAAGTCAGTCGGCAGCAGCGGCACTTTGGACCGACTGGAGACGCTTGATGGAGGATTGCCCGACTCCAAAGTCAAGCGCGTGACGGTCGAAGGCGCGAGTGGCTGTTTTGAAGTGCTCAGCAGAGAAAGGAGGGGCTTGCCTCGGATGCACGACGGCCGCCCCAAAGGAAGAGGCCACTGACTGCGTCTACCCAATGTCGCTTTCATTCTGGTTTCCAAAATAAAGCCCTCTCCTTTGTGCTTTGTCCTTGAATTTTATTCGGTCTGGTCATGCATTGCGTAAAGAGACAAACCTGGGTCTTTTTCTCCCGTTCCCCATTGGCGGCGGTCACAGAGGGCGAACGTCTCCGTTCTCTCCCGGCCGACGTCTAGGAGGCCCGCAGCCCTCCCTCCCTCCCTGACGACAACAACACAAACAAGAAGCCAGGCTTCATGCTCGATACCTTCAATTCTGGAGTGGACTCCGCTCTGGGGCTCGGGGTTTTGGTGGGTTCGGTTTTCCGACCGTGGCCCTTCACCTCGGTCTTCCTGTCGGCAGAGCGGCGGAACTTGGGCGCGGCGCCGTTGCTGCGGTTGGGCGGATGAAGGCTGCGTAGCAGCGGCGACGGCGGCGCCTTCTCCCCAGGAGACAGCGGCGACATGACAGGCGCGCTGACTGGGCGGGTGGATTTGTTGTCTGGGGTGGATGCCATGGCTTCGGGGGAGACACAGGAGGGAGACGTTCAAGAGTAAGTTGAACAACCCCTTGCATGGAGAACGGTCCGGGGGATCCTCCATTGACAACGTCGCTATTCAGTGCTCTACCTCCATCCATGCTGCGGGAGTTCCTCTTACTGGAAGTGCGCTGGAAAAGAGGCGCCGGTCTGTCAATGAGGGAGCTGGCCTGTTTGGTCTGAGCCTGAGTTCGACCGCTGTAGCGAAATTTGGAGCCCAGAGGCAGAAACTTCTTGGGAGTCGCGACCATCTCGGTGGATGTCAGCCTACACACGCAAACAGAGTTGGACTTGGGTCTCAATGTGTTCGCGTCGCCATGAGGCGGACGTCGAAGGATCCTCATACGATACCTGAAGAAGGTGTGATGTTCGACACACACTTTCCACAGTTTCTTGGCTGCTTTGTAGTGAGGTAGTTTGAAGCCTATCGCGCTCTCATAGTGCTCTACCTGCTCGAGGAGATGGCAAGATGGCGGAACGCCAGCCGGAGATTTGAAAAAAAACGTCTGCGGAAGCCCTTGAATGTTTGCTTTTGGGACGGTGTACCTCAGATGGGCGGATCTTGATGAAGAAGCTGCTGCGCTTGTAGGAGACTTTCAGGACTTTGGGCCAGGGAAAGCGGTTGATCCTCAGTTTGTCTTTATAAACCATCAACCCATTGGAGCAAACTCCCAGCATGATGCCGACGCCATCGAGATCCTGACAGAAAAAAATGCAACGGTGATGCTTTTCCAACGAGTCTTACTATTTCATACATTTGTACATGGCAGAATGCACCAACGTGAGCCGGATTCCCTTCGGCAAAAAAGCGTACTCAAAGCGAATTGCATCGACTCGTTCGGATGACATGACAGTGCCGCATGGTGAGCATTTACTAAAACGCCACAAGGGGGCAGCATACGCTTCTAAGAGGCACCATAGCCGAATGAAATCCCTGTTGGGATGCAAACGCATTGACCTGATTTCTGGTCGAAAGTCTGTTGAGTCACATGTCTTCCTGTTGTTGCGCCCACACAGGCAGACTCCTGACATGTGACGCCATGCCTTGTGTGTTTTTCTTTTTTCCCTCCCTCCTATATATGCCCTTATGGGTTTTGCCCTTGGGGGGGGGGGGGGGCATCAGGAACTCTGACTTCTTAAATCCAGCCTAATATTGTCTGCGGGGATCATGTAGCTGCTTTGCTGTCACAGTATCTTTTCCCCCACCACCCCCAAACCCCCCCCCCCCCAAAAAAAAAACAGATAATTGATTTCCTTTTGTCATGAAAGTGCGCCAACTGTGTTCACCTTAGCCTGGTGTAGGTCAACTCCATACATGGACAGCTTCTTTGCGTTCTCCAGGAACATCATGTCAGCCTGAGCCGGACTCATTGACCTGCAAAAGCAAGGCCAAGTCACACCTTGACAGGTACAGTCAATCCTCATTGATCGCGGGGGCCACGGTCCAAAAAGAACCCGCGATAGGCGAAACCCGTCCAGTAGCTCCTCCAGGTTTTCTTTCTCATTTCGAAAGACCCGACGAGTCGACCGATGCTCAACAACATTTATTGTCCGCCCGTCCATGAAAAATTAGGGCCAAAATATCCAATGAAACAGCATGTACAACATACCTAACGAGATGCATCTCCACCACATGAAACAGGCATTCGTCATGGCCAGAAGCCCGTTTCGCCTCCTCAGCAGCTCCTATATTTTGTTGTTCTACTTCTTCCATTCATAACTTTGCTGCTGTGAATTGGGAATTTCTCCATTGCGAGACGAATAAAGGTTTTCTTATCTTAATCGGGAACTTTGGATTCATTCAAAGAAATCGAAGCACCTCACGCTTTGGTGTCTTCCCTCAAACTGACGCGACTGCTCGTCGACACGGACCACTTCCGACCACTCGATGCAATCCTCAAATGCAACGGCAGGGGGCACAATGACGCAGGTAAACGCAGTCATGAGCTTCCTTTTGGACAGTTCTACAAGACTGGAGTATAGAACTCAGAGCAAAGATCAACAAGCGCTTTTTGTTGGCGGGCCGGACAGAGACGAGGCGCGGAGACTGTTCACGCGGGCCGACAGTCCCCCAGACAATCGGGACGCAGAAGGCAATGCGAAGCCGTGAAAAGGTGAGCCGCATTGTAGCGAGGGTTCCCCTTGCTATGATGATGATGATGATGATTACTATTGTATATGTGGCCTCGAAGCATGACTTGAATGTATCCGAGCACTTGGTTGCCGGAGCCAGTGTTCTGACCTGTAAGTGCGGTGAAGCTCCATCATCTTCTCCTCAAGCTTCTTGCTCTGCCCATTAGTCATCTTCATCTCCTTGGCATAATCACTGCCGTGCACCTCGGGGTCATACTCGCCCAACTCTGACTGCAGAGCGTAGGAGCCAAGCAAGGCCAGGGTGACAAATGAGCAGGGCAGACGCCCTTGCAGGATGTCCTTACGTAGTTGGAGGCACAGGTAATACCTTGAAGATGACAAGTCGAGATGTCGGTAAATAACGCACGTACTTGAACCCCTAAAACGGAACTGGCAACAACAACAACAAAAAAGTGTAGAAATTTTCTGACTAATTGTCACCCGAAACTTGCTGCGGCAAACATTAACTGCGCATCTTATTTGCTTTTTCTGGCACTTATACCACCACAAAGGTCCAGAAGAACTTCCAGACTTATGAATACATGTCAAGTGCCACTTGTTAGGTTGGGTGAAATATCAAAATGAGCACAACTCAAGCGTATCTCGAGAGCACTTGGTCTGCAGAGGCAAATAGCGGCCATGGAAAAGTAGCTTTTCATGCAGTGAAACATCGTCGCAAGTCTGACCGAAGCGGACGAACGAGTGCTGTACCTTGTGATGTCTTCCGATAACTGGGCTGGATCCGGCGGGTAGAATTTCACATTGAACGTGAAATCATAGCGGGAACCTTGAAATGAAGTGGTATCATAAATCCTACTGGCGTGGCCTTCGAGCTGCATGGGGAATGCGATCGTGTGGGGGGGCGGGGGGGGCATATTGAGCATATTGAGCTTACCTTGCACCTGCCTGCGGATCTCCTTGTCCAGGTCCATCCAAGTCTACAAAGAAATCCGTAAAGAAGCCACGTCATCATCTACCTTCTCGCGGATGAGGCTCCCCGCCCCGCCCCGAGCGCCGCAAGTTCATCATCGGCTTCCCGTGGACATTTCCAGATTGCGGGCGGCTTTTGGGCCGGAATACGGAAGTGGCTTTTGCCGGAGCGGCTCCAAACGAGTGACAGGTTGACGCCGGCTCACCTTGGCTTTGGGCGTCTCCCAGATGAGCAGCCCATAATAGTCCCTCTCCAGCAGATTGAGGTGGTCGCATACTTTTGTGAACAGCTCCTGGCCCTTGACGTGTTTCTGACACAAGCGCAAAAAAAAACAACAACAACAACAACCCACAAGACACAGTTTCATTTCGGGCTTCCAGTGACTTCAAGGGGACAGTCGTTTCATGTTTGGTGTTAAAACGGGGCTGAGCGGATGGTGAGAACGGCACATAAGGGGCTCGGGGGGAAACGTGTCCTAGCCCAGAGGAGCGCTAACAGCTTTTCGTCAGACGGAAGCAGGAGCTCGGCAAAAGAGAGACGT